TGAAAATCATTATTAAGCGATAACTATGCATGACTGGTCTCCAGAACACTTCAAAACATGGCCTTAATATACTTATCATAGACATATTGTAATTCGTACGTAATTGTTACGTCTAGCTGACTATAAAATGAAGAAAGACGTTTATCAATCGGTCGATTGTGGCGTTAAAATTGAAAGAAATTTAAAAAACCGATGAAAATTGATGAAAACGTACTGCTGAAACCGACAGCACACCGCAAAAGTGAATCAGAAATAAAAGTTTAAAAAAAAAAAGAACCATTCTAGATGAAGAAAGTCCAAAAATGCAGCGAGCATTGATAATCTCAAAAATATCAGTATATCATTAACAATTATTGTCCTGCGTAAGTGAACATTGTATTTTCTACCCTGATTATTTATCCAGTTAATTTGAGAATGCTTTTTCGAAAGGAATGATCGAGTCGCACTCACGTACATTCACTATTTTCCAATGAAAAAAAACATTATACACTTAGACACTGAAACACCACAGACTAAAAAAACTGCATACAGTTGTGTCTGCGCAAGGGCTGTGCGCAATTTTTGTTTATTTTTTAACCGAGATTGCATTCGATCCTCGAGAATGAAGTTCAAGTACCCACAGATTCACAATGAAATGACAAAAGAAGGATTGACATTAATTAAGAAGTTAAAAATATAATAATTAACAACGAAAAAACTTGGCGAGGAGCAGAGCCTCGAGGATGAAAGCAACTCTCTCCCAAAATGTTTAATTTTCCTTAATTTTCTCCTTTTAAGAAAATAAAAAATCAAGAGTATCAAGCAGCTGTACCTAAGTAGTGTAATGATACCTATTTTATTATTATTGCTCTATTATTACTAATACATTATTATGAATTATGGATTATTATATTATTATATTATATGAGATAAATAAAAAAAAAGATTAAAATGGACAAGCTGACCAGGGTGCCATAGAATCCTTTCGTTTATTTGATTTATTATGTTTGTTTTTTTTTTCTTTATTTATTTAACTTGTACACAGGTTTATTATTTCGTTAATCAGACAATGAGAACACTCGAGGCTGCCGGGTTGATTGCGCTGATCCTAGAGCATCCGATGAATGATTTCTTGTGAACAATGGTATTTACGTTTGGAAACAGTCGATCATCTCCTTCGGCGACAAAAGTATCGCAATAAAGAGTAATTAATTGATGAATATACATAAACATTGCACAGATACATATGGATTAGTGTAAGATAAAGTGTAAGTATACTTGCATACATCATTCAATAGATAATTCACATAACGGACGTACGTATATTATTATATGAATATATGACATATATATTATTACTAAATGAGAAATTGGGGGAAAAAATGAAAAAAAAAATGATACATATAAAATGAGTATATTTTTGAGGGGTTGAGGCTGTAGAGCCTCATTTGAGAAAAAAAATCGTGTTAACGACTTAATGAATCATCCGTGTAATACTTCATACAAGTGGATGGAAAATTAATAAAATAATGTCTGTGACTTTTTTCGAAATACGTATAAACTAACGTGTAATTCACATTTACGAATGCTGAAGCGATTTAGATTAAACTAGTTTGAGAGTTGGTGGACGGAATTTGATGAATTTTTATTTGAGAGATATAAAAAATAAGGATTTCTAGGAGATAGATTTTTTGAATTCTTTGATGAACAGTGAATCGAGTCTCAACGACGAATGATTGAATCATCCGTGTTCCGTGTTAGTAGCAGTCAAATTTTGACTAATAATTCAGTGGATTAAATAAATTAAAACCTATTAATGATTAAGGGTAAAAGTGTTGTAAGCGAATCGACAAAACATACTCACTTGAGCCAAAGATGAACGATAATTGCACTGATGCGACAGCATCGCCTGTGGATTAACAATAAATATTGTACGTAGAATTGTAATCGATGCATTATGTAAATGTCTTGTCATTATGCGTCTAAAATCAACAGTCGGCTTGTCTGTTTGAACATTTACAAGTGTATTTTAAAAAAATAATAATGCAATCATATGTGTCTTCGTCTGCGATCAAACTCAACACCTTTTCATTTTTTTTTTTTTGTAATACAACTATTTATTGTAGAGATTTAGGGGCGCGCAGGCGTTGACGTGATTCTCAAGGAAATTTTTCGGGACAAAATAGAAAATGAAAAAAAACGAGGAAATAGTAGAATTGCGGACGAGAGGGTGACGATTTCTTTTGTGGTCGCTCAGGGGATGCCATTTGTCACTATCTCGTCTTGTCTTTTAGTAATATGTGATCAATTGCACCACTCGTGCCAGTACCGAGACACTGTATTCCAATTCGAATTACAGCGTCGCGATTGTGCATTCGAGGCGATGAAATTTCGCCGCCCGATGTCGTTCATAGTTCAGATTGAGTATGACTAATGAAAATCAAAAAAAAAAATAAATAAATAAAAATAAAAAAAAACGAAGGGAATGGGATTTATCATTGAAACTATTTCCGTCGTTGTTGAATTATTTTATTTCCACAGATTAGTTTATTTAATTTGGAATGCGTTTTTGTCGTTTCGACGTGGTGATATCATATTTTAAAAAATAGTTAAAATTTAATGAATTATTGATGAAAGAGGTTGCAGCTTCAGTATGAAAATATTAATAAATTTAATGATACTCAGAGTGCACACACGGACTTCATCGAAAGACTCGCCTATACTAATTATTATAGCTATTGTAGTTTTAATTGACTAGTGCATATACGATTTTCGAGGGACTAAGGCAAATCACGGGGGTTTTTCAAAATGTGCTGGGGATGTTGAGGACACGTTAATCGGTATCCGTCGTAACGGGCTTTAATTATTGTTAAAATAATTCCAAGTTGGGTGAAAATGAGTGGTACATGCGTTAGAAATTCATTTGTACTGGATTTCTGTTGCCGATGCTAGGAAATCATGTGAAATTCTAAATTTTGAATCCTCAATCACGAAAAAAATCCTCGAGGTAACAGAAATCTCGATACAATATTTTTTTCTAACGGAAAAAGGGTAAAACCTGTGAATTACCAAAACCATTGCAATTAAGATTTATGTTATGTAATGAGATTAAAAATGAAATTATTTCGTTCGAAAACACGAATCCATTATTTATGTATAAACATTGTAATTGTCAAGTATTGAGGTAGCACAATCATGAGCGAGTGCCAAGGGTCTGTACCCACTCGATTCTGGAAAAACTTCAAAAAGAGTTTAACGTTGAGAAAAAAATAATTTCTCGCCAGTTAACAAAATGCCCAAGTGTTTGAATAAAATTCTGAGTTAAATTCTCATTAGAATGGAATTTGCACAAGGAGAAGGGCCAAAGAAGGAGAGAGATCGGTAAACTCGAATTGATATTTAATTTGTCGATTAAAAAATAATTGTCCGAGAGTTTCGACGTACGAGCGGACCAGCGAAGAAGTAGAAGGAGCAAAATTTACAGCTGAAAACGTAATATAATAATTAATAATAGAGTGATCCTGACGATTGAATGACGAAATTAATAAATAATGTGATGATAGAAAGTGTTAAACCAAATCGGATTATGCCTTGGGCTTGGTTAATAAATACTGAGGGGACTATTTTCAAAATAGAACGACGGAGACTAAATATTCGGTCGTGATTCGCAAGGGTACGTAACGTAAATTAATTAATTAATAATTAGATTAAATTGAGGATACAATTGTTTAAATTCAGATGGCGATTTTTTGGTTTGGTACGAGAATAATTGAGCCTCACCCCATAAACTCGAATACAAACATCGAGATTAATCGAATTGATGTCGGCGCTCGAGCATATATCACTCGGTGTGACTTCGATAATTGAAATAAATAATTAATGATGAATAATGTTCGGGGAAAAGGCGCGTGTCCTTTTACAAAGGCGTTATAAAACAAGTGGACCAGGGGAGGAAAACATAATTGATGAAAATAGCTTGATGATTTTTCTTGGATCAATAACAGATTACACTCGCTGCACATTCGATCTCCGAATAACGTATTCAATACACAATTTTAATTGAATTTTAATTGTCGATTCGTCCATTCAGTATTGTTGCTTAAAAATGATTATTGTGTTCCATAAAATAATGTTTGAACGGTAATCTTGTGATCTCTATCCATTCACCGGGAATTCAATTTTTCTTTGAATTTTCTCCACTGATAAAAAATAAATCGATCGTGTGCAGCCAGCGTAAGTGTAGGATAAATAAAGCGGCAGGTTAAAAATAGCATAAATAAACAGAAAAAAAAACATGCACCTCGAATAATCTGTTACAGTGAGAACCGATATCCTCGGATATCGATGATGCATTGTAAATCTATATACGTAGAAAATGGTATCACCCGGAGGATAGTATAAATATTAATCCCCAAAAGTATTTGCAAGAAGAAATTGAGGTCAAAGAGAAATTCGAACTGAACAAAATTAGTGATTAATGAGTGAATAAAAATTTTAATGAAAATTTGACGATAAAATGAACTATTGATTGGTTTTCATGTAAAATAAACTACGAATAGACAAAAAAAAAGGTATGAAAAACGATAATATTATAAGCAACAAGAAGTGCTTTTATGAAATACAATATTATTTATACCATCCTGATGATATATTATGAACACGATAAGTTGTAAGAAGAATTATAGTAAGAATAAGTATAAATGAAAAAAAAAAACGAAGAAAAAACAAAAAAAAAGATGATGTATTGAGTAAAACGAGGTATATTTAAGATATTGACATAAAAATATATATTATATATGATTATATTACGACTTATCTATTGTAACGATAATTATATTAATGAGCATTATATTGTGACATTATATTGTAAAATAATTAAGCAATAAAGGTCGTCCTACCATGGGAAAATCATCATCTTTTTCTTTTTTCACTTCAAAATAATTTTGTCTTGATTTTGGCGCTCTTTAGCTGCGCATGCGCACAAATATCCTGAAAATTCACCGGAAGTACGTAATCTGCATTGTCATATCAAGTACAAGTTTAATACGCATAGTCTGGATAATTCCATTTTTTTCATCTCTACGATTTTTTTACGTCTTAAAAATGTTTTTAAGAACAATGTCCTTGGGATTGAGATTAATTAGAGGACAGGATCGACTGTTGCTAAGGAGAAATGGGCTTGAGCGCATCTTGAGGGGGGTTTATTCAAATTTCACTTCACGCTGTCCAGGAATCAGAGGATTTTCTTCGGAATTAAATATCCCAGAGGATCTCGATGAAATCTTCAGGTTCAAGGACACCAATATGAGCAATTGGATAGTGGAGGTTAGAGCTTTATGATAGAAGAATCGAATTAATCTACAGAAATTTTGTATTCCAGAGCAAAGTCCGGACCCTCTGCTGCGTTTATAAGAATTTGTCATTGGAGGAGAAAAAAAATTTTCTCTGGACACTGGCACACCAGTACTCGGTGGATCACCGGGAAATATGCACAAAGGCTGAGAGGTTACTGGAGATTGAGGTTTTATATTCGTTATAGATTTTATATTAAAGTCCTCTTCAATGTAAAATTCATTTTATTCAATTTTTTTAAATTGAATTATTATTTTTTTGATGAAACATTGTAGGGTAATGATGAGAGACAGTTGATGCTGAAGGAGAGGGCCCTGAAAAATGCTCTGACTCCCCAATACCAATGGCTGTTTGTCCTCATGGGACGACTAGAAGAGGGAGTGAAATTTCTCGTTGATCTTCGCACAGATGTTTTGGTATACAAAGTTATTGGATTCCGGTTCTCAATTCCGTCTGTATTGGTAATGTAATTGAATAGAAGGTTTCAGCGATTGTTATCAGATGTCAACGATCCAGAGGAACTTGTAACAATGCAGCAGTTGAATCTCACACTTCATGATTTGCTATTGTTGTGGTTCAGCGTTGGATTCCTGCATTTAGAGAGGATAACCTGGCAGAGTTCCTGTGATATGCTTCAGAAAGTAAGGAAATTTTCCTTGTTCAATTGAAACGTCAGGTTGTCGTAAAAAAAATTTCAATTTCGAATGAAAAATCGAGAACTTTATGAGAGAATAATATTTATTAGATTTTTTTTTATCCTGACAATGGATTTTTGAGCAGATTAACAATTAAATTCCCTTAAAATTTGGAGATATCTGATTACGAGGCGATCCATCCGATAAAAAGCTGGTTGGATTTGAAAAAACGAGTGGGACCATATCGAAGATGTTTCGTATTCACCCATCCCTCGATGCCCCGAGAGCCACTAGTAGTTCTCCACACAGCATTGTGTGATATAATTCCAGGTAATAATACCATTTCTTTGAAACTCAACTCTAGAAATTCTGATTCTCGCCGTACATATATTTTCGTATTTCCTCCATTTCAGGGACTGTAAAAGGAATAGAGGAAGCCGAGCTCCGAATGACTCAAAAGGAAGCACTTCCCCCAACCCAAGTCGACACGTGTGAAATAAAAGCAGCGATATTCTACTCCATATCAGCCACTCAAAAAGGCTTGAAGGTGAGTGGAAAACCTTGATAAAAGAATTTCAGAAGTGAAAAGAAAAAGCCCAATAAGTGGATTTTTCTGAAAATAAATGGCTAAGTCACTCGTAAATTTAGATATATTATTTTAAATTTTACCAGTCGGCTAATTCGACTTGATGTATATTGACATGAATAAAACAGGGGATCGAGCTAGGGAATTATCTGATAAAAGAAGTCGCGAGAGAAGTGACGAGAGAATTTCCGTTGATCGACAAGCTCGCCACAATGTCACCAATTCCAAAATTCAGATTATGGTTCTTGGAGAATGTTAAGCAAGGTAAAAACATCTTAATATTCCTCTCATTACCAACACCAAGAAGCAGAACCAAAAAAATTTCTCATTTATCCGTGCAGATTCAACGAAAATCTTCACAAAAGAAGAATCAGAGGTTTTGAAAAACGCCCTGAAAACCGAGGACTTAGCGTCAGCTCTGAAGAAATTATTCAACAATTCTCTCTGGATAAACGACAGCGAATTAGCAAGTCTTCTAAAGACCCCATTACTGAGATCATGCGCCTGGTATTTATACCGAGAAAAACGAAGGAATTACGCCCTGAACAACGTGGCGAATTTCCACTTGCGAAACGGAGCAATAATGTGGCGAATAAATTGGCTCGCAGACCCCTCGCCGAGGGGTGCCGAGCATAGCTGTGGAATTATGGTAAATTACAGATATTTTCTCGACGATACCGAAGACAATAGTCGTAATTACATCGAGCACAATATTATCAAAGCATCAGAGAGTGTAATCACAATATCAGAAGCTGCTGCAGCCCTGAGACACCCCAATTAAACACTAGCATCAATTTTTATAGACTACAATAATTCAATTAAATATTTTTACTCTTCGAATTTATGTTTTTATTAAAGATTATTAAATTTGTTCATTTATACAATGGCCGGATTCGGCCAGCTTCACATACAGCACAAGAATCTGCAGGCAAATCTGAAACAAGTTTAAACGTCCATCTTGAACTGATTCACACTGTTTAATTCTGTTAAGAATGTTCATCCAAAATTGGAAAAATCATGTTTTTTTGAGGACGGCTAAACATTCTTAAGCTATGATGATAGATAAAAGAGGGGAATTGTGAGGTTTAAGTGAGGAAAAGGGGAGGAAAATGTGTGAAATCGGATGAATTAAAAAAATGCACCTGTAGTCAAGGCTGAGCTTGATGAAAAGTCGTGGGAAGATGAGGTCTACTCTCCAGCTTGGTATAATCGAGATGAAACTCTTTAGCAACCTTTCTCCAGCTTTGCGCATCAAAGTAGTAGTAAGTACCACGCTCGTACGTTGAAGTCTTCTCGACCATGCCCAGTCCAGGTGCTTGTGTAATCCAGACCTTCTCCTCCATGTGATATCGCCACTCTCTGGTGTATCTGTGAATCAAAATCCAGGTGAATTAATTGTCTTAATTGTTTATCGATTGAATTTTCAACAACTTACAACTCGGCTGCTGCAGCCAATTGTAACACATCCCCAACATTCGTATAAAACATATAAAACAAGAGATCGTCCTTGTACCGATTGAGTTTAACAGGTGCCAACTTCTCCCTGGAAACAAGATGATATTGGTGTGAGTTGACATAATTCAACAAACTGGAAATAAACTGGTTCTCATGATGATTTACCTTATGGACGCATTGATGAGGTACTCTGGGGGTACGTGGAAGTCAATGTCCTGCGGTCGACAAGGCGTTTCCGCCCAGGGGCCACCGAAATTTGGGTAGAGATTTTCAGGTGAGTTTAGATTGAGTCCTAGGGCTGTTAAGTCTTGTCCGAGTGCCAATGACACGAGGTTTGGGTCAGTTTCCGCGGCTCTGATGAACGTCAATAGTCCAACCATACCGAATTGGTCTTTGACCATACTAGACGGTATATTCGTCACTTTGCCTGATGAATCAATCATAAAAAAAATGATGAGTTATTTTATTCTTTACGAGAAATAATTCTAGTTAAAAAAAATTTATTTGGACATAATAATTATTAAATAAATAAATAAAGGATTGGGTGGAATGATGATTTACCATCTTGCGATGTCTGAATTCCTCTTTTCGATGCCTGTGATTTTTCGGAACCCGGCGCTCGGTTACTCTGTAATACATCCTGGCCAATTTCCGGTCCTAAACCCACCGACAAACTCTTATCCCCTGTAACACTACCGCCCGGGGATGGTCCGTCCCTACTCTGGGTGCCGGGTAACGCTGGAAAGTCTTCTGAACTCATAGTAAATTCACTCGATTCAGATGTAGGCTGCTTTACCATACCAACTGCAATCAAAAGCCAAAAAAATCCAGATTATTATAACATCCTTAACAGGAATTCAGGACAAAATGTGAATGAGGAAAAACAATCATTATGTCCTTGAATTAAGCTAACCATAAGCTTGCTTTCCTGGCATGGGGCTGGGCTGTGGCATAGAATCACCTTGTCCCCTATTCGTTAATGAAGGAAACTCTGAGAGATCCAACAGTGGAGGAGTACTCGTATCTCCACCGCCGCCGCTACCGAACACAGAATGGAAATTGTTGATCGCACCTTGAGATCCGTAACTCCGACTTTGAGGTATTCCAAAACTTCCCATACTACCCATTGGATTAGAGTTCCTGTAAATTTACCAAAACAACCCCTATTAATCACAGTCGACTCAATTCACAGCCCATCCCATTAATAAAACCAAGTTAATTAATTCATTAATCTTCCAGAGTCGAAGCGAGGTGATAAATTTAGAAATTTCCGTGATGTTCTGTGAAATTTCTCTATTGAATTCTCCAAGATTTATTTTAATGCAGCAGCGAAATGGCAAACCAAAACAAATAAATTTTTTTCAGTTTTACCGAATACCTACCCGTCTACAAAAATCAAATATTTAAAAAAAAAACATATCAGCCAATTTTTTAATAGAAAATTCCTTTTCGATGGTATTTGAGATAAATTAGCAATTAGGAAAAATGAAAAATTCCATGACTATCAAATCCCCGATAGCTCAAATCCCCACCGCTTCGCTCATCCTCTCGTTTTCCCTCAACAAAATTACCATAAAGACCAAACCATAGCAGAACATGAAACAAAAACAACAAACACGTGGTTAGCCTCGAATAATCCATAAATATGACAAAGCACGCATGACTCATGGTAAATCCAAAAGGAAGGAACCCAAAGTGTAAATACTGATGGTATGATCTTAAGCCTAGAGCAATGTAACTGGCAGTGATCTCAACGGAAAATGAAAAATAAAAATAAAGGTAAAAACGTGAGATAAGTCGATAGTTGGGTGTTGAACTGAATGTTGACTGACCCAAGAGCAGGCATGGTACGCCTGTCAGCAAAAGCTCTCTGTCCAAACAGCCCTCTGCTTCCCATAGGCGACAACTGCTGCTGATGTCCACTGGCCTGTGCACCAGCTCCAGTGCCGGGATAAATGCTCGCTCCAACGATCGACGAATTGGCTGTACTCGAGGTACTTGCCGATGAACCAGAGAACATGCCCGATGTTGGTGTGACATGACCCACTAGGGTGGATGAGCTTAAGCCCCCACCACCAGCCCCACGTGATGATAGGCTTGCGGTAGCTATACTGCGTGGTGGCTGTTCAAAATTCAGATTTGCCATAGCCCTCCTAGGCACACCTATTTCAATAACCTGCTGAATTGTAATGAATAATGTTCTTCAATCTCTCTGTTACCAAATTCATTGATTCATTGATGCCCCTACTGTTGCACGTCATCCTCACACACACTCATTTTGTATAAAGTCTCACGTTATTATTTCTGCTTGTTTATATTTTCCAATGGTTTGTGTATCCCTCGTAAAATGATAATTCAAGTACAAAATCAATCACACTTTGAATAAAAACGTCCTCAACACTTTCACAACCGCTTGTTAGCCTTCAAAACGTCGTATCAATGCATTTTTTCAAATAAATAATAAAATGAATCAATGAATATGCTATAAACGCTGACAAAGATAAGTAACCCCAGGCAGATTTGCCAATGTTTTTTTATTCAACGAAAAAACCCCCGAGACAGCTGAATGATCAGTGTCCACTCCAAGCCATATTCAAGCATCACAAGGATAACCACAAAAATTGGATGAGCTCGTTATCCCAATATCCTGAATAACACCCCGGGATTTAATGATTTATGAACATGAATTAGAGGTGTATGAAAAATTCCATCCCCGTACTTGACGCCAATTTCTGATGGCCAGGCTACCCCTCAAAAATCCCCAAAAACGATACCTTTGTTCCCCCCCCCCAAAGTTGTTAAAAATTATTTCAATAACGTGATGAAAAAAAAAGTGGGCGAATAAAATGAAACGTGCGTTATTTTATCAATGAAAAAGTGACACCAAGTGTTTAAAGTACGTCTGACAATCACAAGGTAAAGACAAAGGTTATAGGAGCATCAACCGAAGCATTCCTCCTCTCGGCAATTCCCCAGGACTCGACCAAAGAGAAAAAAAAAAAAAAACTTGTGCTCCCCCCCCGATAAAATCCCAAACGAGAAGGAGAGAAATAAAATCCACAGACAACAGTACCTATATTTTGCTCTCCCAGCTGCTTTTTACCCCTGCGCCGAGAATTCACAGGTACTCATTATAAACAATAGTACATATACCGTATCTATAAAAAATAAACTGAAAACACTGGGCCAACGTTGAAATTAATGACAATATTTCTTGTTGTTTCCCCACTGATACAAATGTGTCCCAATGTTGGGATGTGGAAGAATTTAGGCGGGCAATGTCCCCCGCTTAACAAAGCCAAATGTCACGTCAGTGGTGCATCAACACTTATTTCATACTGACACCATACATTTTTTATCGAAATACACCATCGAATCCACAATCACCTAATACTGCCTGCGGTTTATTCAGCTTCAATCACAAAGTCAAACAACACCACAGTCACAAAATTCTGCCATATTAGCAAATTTCACAAATGCACTCAAATCAGCAACCCGAAGCGCCCGGTACTCCAGCCTCTCTTTATACAACCACTGAAAAATGGTCACTTTTTTTCACAGGCTAATTCCAATTATCACTCGGAATAAATACTATTTACAAATCTATGGTACAAATATCACGTTATTCCGACCAACCAGAAGCTAGACACGTTTGGCAGTCGATACTGTTCAACATATATATAGGAAAACAGTTTTTTTTTTCAATCTCTTGGATTTTTTTTAATGGAAAAAAAAAATCGAGGCAGAAAATGCAGAGAGTCGCTTTAATTGCGCCGATCGACATGAGACAGTGGCGCTCGCCTTCTCGAGATTTTCGAGATATCGTTTTGTCCTCGTTACACTCGTTGTCAGTGTGGATCGAATCGACTGACTATCAGCTGACAACGCAGGTCCCTGTGCTGGTGAACAAAAAATTCCATTCGTAAATTTCCTCCGGGATTTACACACAAGAAAAAAATCTGATAAATTCTCCCAACGATTTTTTATTTAAATCCAAAATTTTTCAGATAATTTCGATAATCGAATTGTCACACATGAAAAAGAAGTTTTTGATTTAAACTGTCAATTGACTGGTGTCTGCGCGCGCAGCAGTCATGTTATATGTGGTCATATGATCATAGTTGGGCAGTGCTCGAAGACAGTCGTGCTGATAGGCGTTGACTTATTCCTCCGTTGGATTTTTTTCTCAACTAAAATAAATCCTTCTATTATTTTGGCAGTATCAGTTGGCCAGTAGCCGTTGGTTTACATCAGTGCAGATAAACGTCAATAAAAATACAAGTCAATCATGGCGCTCAGCGATGCAGATGTCAGAAAACAGGTGATATTCAATAATACTTGATAAACTTTTTGGGGATGTTCTGATTTTCGTGATCCCAGTGTCATTATCGGTTTTACATCACTGTATTGAGTACTGAAGCGAACTCTATTTCTTGGGGGTATATTATATGAGTGACGATGTTGTCTCGACAAAATTCAAGCCATTCCCATTTTTGTGGATTCAGTAAGTCTCATCTGATTATCCATGGGATGAAATAATTTCATATATTTTTTTCCATATATTTCTCTTTGTAATGGACCGAGGTCCCAGGCCGAATGGAAATGATGAATTTATTATTGATTTATGAATATTGAAAATAAAATTTGTTTCAAATATCGGTTATACCCGTCTTCCCTTAGATTTCGTGAGCAGTGGGAGTGGCACTAATATGTCAATCAATGAGAGAGATTGGGTTGTAATGTATTTGTCTCGGGGGTTGCTTTCAGATCAAGCACATGATGGCATTTATCGAGCAAGAGGCCAACGAAAAGGCGGAGGAGATTGATGCCAAAGCCGAAGAGGAATTCAATATCGAGAAGGGACGTCTCGTTCAACAACAGCGTCTCAAGATCATGGAGTACTACGAGAAGAAGGAGAAACAAGTTGAATTGCAGAAGAAAATGTACACATAGTTCATAAATAACTCTGAGATTCGTCTCCAGACACTGTAGTTACTCGTGATTCATGAGTTCATCTATTTTTGTTTGTATTTAATCAGCGATTTTGGGAGAATTTATTTTTGAGATGTTGCTCTGTTTGTTTTTCAGCCAATCCTCCAACATGCTTAATCAGGCGAGACTCAAGGTCCTCAAGGTGCGTGAGGATCATGTCCGGAATTGCCTCGATGAGGCCAGAAAACGACTCGCTGATATTGCTCATGATCGTGCACGATATACCGAGGTGTTGAAGCTCCTGATTATTCAGGCTCTTTATCAGCTGATGGAGCATAATGTTCTCCTGCGTGTTCGTCAAATGGATGTTCCACTTGTTGAGTCGATCCTCGGAGAGGTTCAGGATAACTATAAGGCAGTTTCCAAGAAGGATGTTATTCTCAAGGTTGATACGGACAACTTTCTGTCGGCTGACAGCTGTGGAGGTGTTGATCTACTTGCTGGCAGAGGTAATTACTCATTATTTTCATTAATTAGGGCTTTAATTCAAGACAATTGATTCATGGGGAAAACATTAGAGGACACTTTTTTAACCCATTAAATCGATTACAAAAAAATTGTTTAGATATTTCATAATTCATAATAGGGATAGCTTTACGTTTTTGACAACTTCAGTTTTTTCGTGTAGTTGAAGTTGTGATTTTTTCCTCAGGTCGTATCAAGATCAGCAATACATTGGAATCCAGACTAGAGCTAATTGCCCAACAATTGGTTCCGGAGGTTCGTTCAGCCCTGTTCGGGAGCAATCCCAACCGCAAATTCACCGATTAAGGGATTCACCCTCAACCCATCTCCAAAAAAAAACATTCCCTTGTTCGCAGAAAATTTAAAGAAAAGAGAAATTCAATTGCTTCATTCAAATGCACATAATAAAAACGGGATTCAATGATAAATGAAATTCGTGTTAAATTTTGTGATGAGTTTGCCAGAATTATAGACATGTGCGTTCAAAATTACAAGGCCTACTTTTACCACGGTTACTGTTATTTGTTGTTGATGTAACAGATTCATATAATGTGTTTCGGCCATTTGCCAGTATTAATTTGTGTTATCGTGTAACTGTGTTTTCAAATTAAATTTGTGAATCTGCAATCTCTGAATTTTCTTAATTTTCAGATATTGTGCACTTATATTTATGAATTACAAAAAAAAATTGTAGGGGATCGAGCGTATCATTAATAGTTCGGAATTAAAGGGCTGCATTAAAATTGAAAAAATTAATTAATTGTTCTTATTATGAACGCACATGAAACTTCCACTTGCAAGCGCAATAAAACTCTTTCCTGGATTGTTTAAACAAACTCACCAAGGCGAATACAAACCTCATTTATATCCCCCACAACGAAATATCGTCAATCGTTCAAAAAATAAAATACTAGAGATATTTCGGAGTATTTCAATTAATAATATATTTTAAAATCGTGTTGAGTAATTAATTCGCGGTAGTTCACAGTGTATTCTTGGGCATGCTATTCAAATATAATAGTTTCTTCTGTACATATGTATTAAAAAATCAATGTATCATAAACGACACGATAAAAAAATTAAAAACCAGTTGACGTTTTATTCATCAAGTCGATGGGGTGAATTTTATGTTCCCTGGATGAATGCTTTTTGTTTCTTATTTGTTTAACTGAAATTTTGCCGACTGTAGAACGAGGGGGAGGGGGAAGCCACATTTTGTGGAATTTCAAATGGAAAAAATTAGTTAATATATTGAAGATATATTACTAATGAAATTATATTCGATCCTAGCCAGCATTCATTATTTTTTTTTAAATAATTCCATTTTTATCTTTTTTTAAATGGCTAATGAATGGAAATATCGTTTAAACACTGAATTTTTGGAAATCGAGAAGATATCCAGTGAAATTGACAAATTTGAAATTTTTTTTAAAAATCCCTTTGCAAAATATATACGCCTAATGAAAATATATTATCAGAATGAGCGCGTTGTCTTAATGGTAACGTGCTTGCCTACCACGCCGACGGCCCGGGTTCGATCCCGCCGTCATTCATTTTTTTTTTTTAAATAATTCCAATTTTTTCTTTTGTAAATGGCTAATAAATCGAAATATTGGTTGAAAACTGAATAGCTCCTCGATTGTCATGTTCCCCTGATACTTTTACAAAAATTTTGAATTTTTCACTTTCAGTGAAAATTTCAGTGAATAGCTCCTCGATTGTCATGTTCCCCTGATACTTTTACAAAAATTTCGAATTTTTCACTTTCA